ACAACCAACCTTTAAAACCAATTTAGTCTAGACATAAAGTTAAAAACCGTAGAAGAATACCAGGCACACAAATCTCTGTGGATTCGATCCCTAAATACTACAACTGATTAGCTGTGCACTTGCGGCTTTCATTTGTTTTGTTAAGGGTAAAACTTGTTCCCTCACGTAGTTGATACGAGCACGCATCACACACCCATGTAGGTGTGATTTGCGAACAGGTGTGCTAGATGGGACCTGACCTTGTCCAACTCACACACCCAAGTAGCACACCAGGCGGCTCACCAGTTTTCATTCCTTAAGTCCTTCCTCAGCTTGTTCTCAGACTCCTATTCACTTTGTCATTGGACCACAGTATCCCTAAGTTACTTTAGACCTGAAAACACTTCACAAAACCCATCAAAATATCCTAAAACATGAAAAAGAAGAGAAAAAATTAAAAAGAGTTATGTACAAGGATAAGCTTGGGATGTCTCCCAAGAGCATTTTGTTTTAAGTCACTAAGTTTGACTTTTCATACTCTTTTCTTAGTGAGTGAGAGGAGGAGCTTTGATGCTCCTTGTCTTGTCCATGAATTCTAGCATTAGGTCCTTGTTCATCAGCTCTTGAACACCAGATGACCCTTTGTCTATGAGCTCTTGTGTGAGGATTGCCCTGACTTTTGCAAAAGGTTTTGATCCTCCAATGCTTTTAACCTTGTATTCCACAGCTCCACCATCAAACTTCCATGGAGTGAGAGTTAAGACTTGAGAAGAGGACCCAAGAGTGAATGATTTGGTGCTTGTTGGGTTCTTGTCTTGAGACCCTGAACCATTGCTTTTGTTGCTGCTGACCTCCTTCTCACTTGGTGTAGGAGAAAAAGATTCCAAGCAAGCTTCATCATCACTAAAGAAATCTCCTTCAAACTCAAAATCAGGTCTTACTAAGGATTCTTTCTTCTTCTCAACAGATGCAAGGGGTTGAGCTTCTTCTATAGTTCCAATACTCCCCACATACTTCATCTCATAGTGTTTCAACTCATCAGAATCATCAGATATAACCCCACAAAATCCAGAAAGAGGAGGTTTAAGGGGATAAGATACTTCATCATCTACCTTAGAAAACACCACTCTTTGAGTATCAAAGTCCATCCTTACTCATGTGGTGTTCAGAAATTGAGTTCCAAGCAGAAGAGGTAGCTCTTTGGTCTTTTTCATCTTCATGACTACAAAATCAGTTGGAACTGTGCATTCACCAATCTTTAATGGGTAGTCTTCAAGGATTCCATATGGCTTCTTTGAGGATGAATCTCCAAAGGTAACTGACATGGGGTGATGCTTAAGACTCTTGATCCCTAGTCTCTCCACCATGTCTAAAGACATTACACTGATGCTTGATCCAGAATCACATAAAGCATTGTCCACTTTCAAACTTCCAAGAGAGCATGAGATGGAGAACTTTCCTGGATTACCTAGCTTGGGAATTGATTTGGGTTTCACCCTTGTTGAACCAGTGCTAGAGACTCCATCAGATGTCCTTCCTTGAACCATTCTCTGATCCTTTGTTTCAGTAATCTCAGAATCATTCTTTCTCATATCAAAACAAGCTGCCTCCCCACCTTCTTTCTCAATGTCCTCATTGAGATCACAGAACAGGAAGTCAAACTCCTCTATGATGGCGTCCTCATCATCTTGTGTCAGGCACTTTGCACTTGAGACATTTCCATGGAGAAGATCCTAAATTTCTTGGACAGCAGCATGATTCTCAGCATTTGAGAGGATTACATTGCAGTATTCTGTTTGATGTGCAACTGATGTCCCTGGTAAAGATCTTTGAGCTTGAGAACTGCAGTGGCCCTTGTTGTTCTCTAGAGTCTTGACTTTGGAAGCCAAGGTTGAAATTTGAGTTAGAAGATCAGAATAAGTGCAATCCACCTTGTTGTTAATCTCTGCCATTTTCTTGTTGAAGTCTATGGCACCACTTGCTTGACCTTTGAGAATTTGCTGGAGCAGGTTCTGCACTTCTTGATCCTTATTCTCTGAGTTCTGGTTGAGACTTTGTTGTTGGGGAGAGACAAAACCTTGTTGTTGAGTGTTTTGAGGATAGAAGTTCTGGTTTGGGGGATTCTTGTAGTAGGTAAAGCCCTTTTGGTAACCTTGTTGGCCACCTACAAAGTTCACCTCAGCTGTGATGTCTTCCCTTTGAAATGTGTCTTGAAAGACATGATTCACATCTCTAACAAAGTTGGCTGACTGATGAGAAGCTAAGAGAAGTGTGTCTAGCTTCTCATTGAGAGACTTGATGTCTTTCCTTTTCCTTTCCTCTTCAGCACTCACAGCTCCTCTTGAATTCCTTTCAAAATCTGATCCATAAAGCGCATCACTCTGAGCTACATTCTCCACTAGGGTCATGGCATCATTGACTTCCTTGGTCATGAAATTACCATTTGAAGATGTGTCCAAGAGAAGTCTGACCTTTGGTAAAGCACCTCTGTAGAAGGTACTTAGCAGCTGACAATCTGAGAATCCATGGTGAGGGCATTGCATGGTATACCCTCTAAATCTTTCCCAAGCCTCACAAAATGATTCATGGTTCTTCTGAATGAAACTTGAGATTTCATTTCTTAACCTTGCTGTTCTTGATGAAGAGAAGAACTTGGTTAGAAATGCTCTTTTGCATTGCTCCCATGTTGTGACCGATCCTTGAGGTAGAGACTTTTTCCACTGATGAGCTTTGTCTCCTAGAGAAAAAGGGAATAACCTCAACTTGAAACTGTCCTCACTCACTCCATTCATCTTAATTAGATCACAAATTCTATCAAAGTTGTCAATGTGATCTAATGGGTCTTCTAATGCTAAGCCATGGAACTTGTTTGATTGCACCATGTTGATCAAGCAAGATTTGATCTCAAAATCGTTTTCAGGTGTAGGAGCTTGAATCCCATATCTCTGACCCTGAGTATTGGCCTCATCACCAGCTCCCACAACTATTCTTGGACGTGGTGCTGGACCCTCTTGCTGAGCCTGGTGGTTTCCATTACCACCATGAGCCTGTTGCCCTTGAACCATACCCAACCTCTCAATATGCTCAGCTCTTTCTCTTTGTCTCCTTGCTTGACTTCTGGTGTTCATACACCTGAAAACAAAGACAGCACTTGAAAGGTAATCAGTTAAACAAAAGAAATTGACTTGATCTCAAGAAGATCCAAAGTCCTAATGCTAGAATGAATCTCCAATTGGCAACGGCGCCAAATTGATAGTAGGAATTTTTCAATCCTTGATCAATTCCTCAACTACTCATGTCATTGTAGCACTTGAGGTATCAATCCAAATGGAGAGATTCTAGACACTAGAACTAGGAGGAGCTATCTTAATTCAAGTCTAATAAGCAGATGAGTTGGTAACAAGGTGATCTAAAAACATAAAGCAAACAAGAACAAGCAGTAATTAAGAATTAAACAACCAAGCAAGACAAACAAAACAAAGACTCAAATTCAAATAAAGAGAAAGTTAAACCTCTAGATGTGATCATTGATTAGGGTGCTTTAAATGTGAATTCATGATGCTAAGCAAACAATGCAACACTTGCAATTCTTTAGTCTAGACTTCCAAATAAGATTAATTCATTCTCATGACAAAAATTCCTTTGTTAATTACCAAATCAATACTAATTCCCATTAGATGAATAAGCAATCAACAAACATAAGGTTCCAAGTCTAAAATGACCAGACAGCCTCTTTGTGCATCAAAATAAGAGCTAAGAAAGACTGAATCTTATACAGAAAGATAAAGCAAGCATCACATGATCTCAAATTCCAATTAACTTAGAACTTTAATCTAGATTAATCCTCTCATGAAGGCATTAACCTCTACACTAATCCATTTTCAAACCAAATCATCATTTGTGAAATATGAATTAATGAGCATTAAGAAACAGTTCTAATATGTCATTCATGCATTTAACAATCATTCTCATGATGAAAAAGGCATAAACCCTTAAGTTAGCTCATTCAGGCATTTCATCAAACACCTTGTGAGTGGAGAAATGCCTAAGTTCTAGATCAAGCTTATAATGAGAGATCTAGCATTAAGAGCAGCTAACTAAGGAAAGGAAATGATAATATAGAACCTAAACATCATAAATCAAACATCAAAGCACCCTAATCTACACACCTAGAAGCTTAATAGAAGACTACTCACTAATCATGATGAACACACCATTTCCTTTGCAAGAAGTGATGTTAATCATGATTAGAAGCAAAGATAAGAAGATGAGATGATAAGAAACAGACTTAGATTGATTAAATCCTTGAGATATCTCTTAACAAACTCGTTTTTTAACAAAATGGGAAAGAGAAAACAAGAGAAAACAAAGCTTAAGTATTTGAAAAAAAACCCTAAAAAGCATATATAGTGTCTTTTGCAGACCGGGTCAGCCCAGGACAAACTGGGTACTGACCCGGCTTCAAATGGGTCATGTCTCAAGTGTGTGACATGGTCAGGTGATTCCCAAGTCGCAGGCCCAAGTCGCACAGCCATAGAAGCAGCCTTGTGCGCCATAAATCCCTCAGCCTCAGCCGCATGCCTATCTAGGTGTAAACAGCGAATGTTTGTGCTGCTCAGGCTTCCTTCTCTTCAACTCGCACAACCAGGACGCATTATGGAGATAATATGTGTGCGAGATGGTCACTTCCTTGCCCAAGTTGCATGCCCAAGTCGGTGTAATTTGCGAACACATGTGCTACATGGTTCCACTTCATGTCCAACTCGCAGGTCTATCTCGCACAGTATTGTGGACTTACTCAAATTTGATTCTGGAAGTCTCTACCTTGCTCAGAGTCTCTTTACACTCATCTCTAAAGTCTCGACTTGTTTCCAGAGTGATACGATCCTAGGTGATCAACTCTGAAGCTAAGGCAACAAGTGAATCGAGATCGTGACTTGGAGGGACAGATGCGATGGTAATGGTGCGAGGGAACAGTGTTGGTGGCGCGATGAGAGATCGATGAGGTCGTGAAGGGGGATATGATGATCGGACCGGTGAAGAAAGGGGTGGTGCTTGATGAACGCGTCGACGAGAGGTGATGGTGGCTTGTGGATCGGATCGTGGATGTGTGATGGTGGTGTGAGCGAGAGATCGATGGTATGGTGATGATGAGATGATATCGATGCAATGGAGAGATAGTAGAATCTCTTGTAAACAGATTAGTTTTTAAGAGATTCGAATTTCAGAGTTTTTAGTTCTCAGAAATCAAAAAGAGAGAAGAACACGTTAAAAGTTTAATCAAAATTCTTCACCCCCTTATCACATAGCCGATTTTCTCTCTTAAATAGACTTAGAGAGAAATCGCAGCCCTAGGAAACAAACTACATGAAGCCTGAGATAAAAACAACAAGAAGTTTGATTTAAAATAAAACATCGAGGCGTCCCTTCTAAATCCTAAGTGGTGCGCTTAAAACAACTAGTGCACAAGTCATTGTTACTTTGCACGTTACTACCCATTAGTAACAACTTCTAAGTAACTCGACGTAGCAATGATTTCTGCCTCGTTAAAAACCTTGGAGAAGAACCTCCTTGCCTTCCAAAATCCTCACCAAGGAAAAGAGTACAGAATCATCACCTAAGTTACCTAGTCATTGTTACTGGGTTCTTCATTCTTCAAGATAGAGATGTTGAAGATGTGAGCTCCAGCTTCCAGTTGATTGATGTCCTCTGCGGCCATGAGTGCGTGAGCCTCCTTAGCCATCTCTCTAGCTCTGGAACGAGTGATCCTGCCAGCTACCTCTGGTTCCTCCTCCTCTGAGCTGGTCACGATCATATCACAGAGAGTTGAACATTCATGGGTGCGAGTTAATCAAGTCGCAGTACCGTATCGCACAACCTAAGCCTTCTCAGACCACTTTGCATTGAGGGGAGAATAACTTCCAGGATATAGCTCCAAATGGTATGATTTCAACTGAATTGGAAATAAACTCAAATATCTCGAACTTTGATGAAGGCTTAGGGTTCAGGTGACGTCGGCAAGGGCTCCGTTCCACCGGTTCTTTGATGCGCGTTGCATTGGTCCTTTATCCGCTCCGAGACATGTACTGCTTCTTATCGCCGTAACTTTCAGCTCCAAACTGCAAATAGGACGATCTATCGTGTTCTGAAAACTAGACTCAACGCTCTTGATTCGTTATGAATACTACGGAGGCTGACTCCTGGTGAAAGTCCTCTTTCTCAGGTGATCACGTTGAGGGATCGTCGGCTCCATAACACTTGTCCGAGTCTGATGCACATAAGGTGATAGTCTCTCCATGGCTTTTGTCCCAATTGCTCCCAATTAGCTCCAAATGACCTGTAAACACTCCAAAAGTGCAAAACTCTCTAGGACCTAATGCAATTCCTAACTAAAGACAAAAGCAAAGACAAATATATGTAAAACTACCTAAATGTATGCATGAGACTCAATATTTGGACAAAAATGTACTCCTAAACATGACAAAATATGAGAATATCAGAATCATTTAACGGGGTCTTCATAAAAGTTGGAAATAATCAAGTTAAGATCCCAGAACAGTTGGAATCACAGAATTCGGAGCAGTGAGTAGAGAGATATCGCCACCGGGAGACACACCTGTCTTGCATGCATTCAAGAGTCGATCCGATGAGTTTCAAAGATTACGTGGGACGATGCCTTTCCAACTCGAATCAGTTTACAGGGCCTTCATCAATATGTTAGATCTCTAAGTGCTCTTTCAAGAACACCTGAGGTCATCCAATTTGGAGCTGTTCCCTGAAAGATATCGTCTCTGGAATAGACGTTGGTCGAAAAGCTGTTTTCATGTCATTCCGATGCGTTGTAAAGATGAGCAATCCGGGGAGCCTTCCACTTCCCAAGCTCCGACGGTTTCTTCACCAAAATTTGAGCTGAATGAGTAATCTTGATCGTGGAATTGGTTTCAAGACATTTGGAATCGTGTGCGGAAAGTTATTGCAACCGGGAAACAAGTTGATCAGTACGAGCCTAAGGAGTTGCGATACGCGCTAATTGTTTCTGTGAGCCTCGGCATCATTACCTCAATATTGCTTAGGCCGAGGCTCGTCCCTTGAACCTCTTTGGACTAAACCTCGTGCTAACTCCTTGGTGTATCAAGATCGAGGCATACATGCTGAAGAAGCGAAGCTGAAAACGACTAAGTGTTTGACGTGAACCTCGGCTAAAAACCCCGGCATTGCATGTCAGACTTCATCTGCCTTGATCCCTTGACTACCAAGCCCCTCGGCATTGCATGCCGAGGCCCGTTGTCATAAACCCAGATTCAAGAACAAGCTGACTCGGAGAATGCACGTGAAGATGGATTGAAGACTAGGGTTCATGCATGTTCTTGACGTGTTCTTCATGAGATCTTTACTCATGTGCATCCCTCGACATCAAGATCTTGGCTTCACTCTCTCACACACCGAGGTGCTCACCCGACGACCCAAGAAGAGCGTTCAGTACCTGGTTTGTTCCGGGCTGAACCACAACACTTATCCTTCACTATAAATTGATTTTAGGACCAAAAACCTAATCATTTTTTATCTTATCTTATGTCCTACCTGTTTCAGCTTTGAGAACTTGCCTATTTTGTGAAACTTGATTAATCTAATCTGATATCTCGTTTTCACGTGAAGATCTTGTTCTCTTTCATTTCTTTTATTTACCAGCATCAAAACCTCTAATCATGACTAGCTACACGTCTTGCAAAGGATTTAGTGAGCTTTTTATGATTAGTGAGTAGTCTGCTCAAGAGGTTTTAGATAGGTAGATTATGGTGCTTTCGTGATAGATTAGCGAGTTTAGGGGTCTAGTCTTGCATGTTTCATTCACTAACCGATCAGATCTCTAAGCTGGATCCATGAACATCACATGCGGTCCAGATCTAAGACATATCTCGCATCAAAAGTGTTTGTAGAAATGTCTGAACCAATCGGTTAGAGGTTTAAGAGTCTTTCATCATGAGAGTGATAGTTTGTTCTTCTTAAATGACTTATTGAACTGAATCTTAAAGCTGACTGATTCATGCTTCTCAAAAGGGATCAGTTTAGATGTTTAATACCTTCATGAGATGATTAACTTAACTTGAGTTCATGTTATATGAAATTGCTTGATAATCTTGCTTCATTAACTCGCTAGTTTAGCTTGGAAGCACCCGAGTCTTTTATCCTGTCTAAAGCCTCTGCCTTTATAATCTATTATCATCATCCGATCATTTGCTTAGTTACTTGTTGTTATTTGCATCTTTATCTAGCTTAAATTTCATTACTTGTTTCATTCTTGTTCTCTCTTGCATCTTAAGTAGATTAAACAAATTAACCAACCTTTTCATGATCAACTTGACTTAAGTTAATGAGCATAATAGATTAGTGCCTCTCCACAAGTTTGGTTTGATAACCCCTCGTACTACAAGACAGGGGATTGATACCTCTATAAAGGCTGAAAATGTCTTAGTTATCAATTGGTGTCGTTGCCAACTTTTGGGATCATTAGTTTCTTATTTATTCATGAGATCAAGTCTTTATCTTTTTTGTTTTACTGATTACTTTGCAAGTTCTGGCTTTGCTTTCAGGTGTATGAGAACCAGATCTCGCAGCTCTGAACCGCCTATTCCTTACGACAACAACATCAACATGCTAGAAAGTAGGGCACGAGAGAGAGCAGCACACCTTGAACGGTTAGGCATGGCAGAACAGCAACGGATTGAGCAACAAGCTCAAGAAGCCAAACAACAGGCTCATGTTAATCAAGCGCAGGCCGAGAGGAACGAACAGCAGGCATATGCAAATCAGCAACAGGCTCAGCGAAATGAACGGCTAGCTCAACAAAACCAGCAACAGGCTAACCGAAATGAGCAGCAAGCACAGCACGTTCCTCAACCTCCACCACCAGCTCAGAGACAACCTCCTCCAGTCTTTGTTGGAGAAAACGACCGAGCTTATGCACATTAATATAGAGCCGGGATCCAGGCACCACCTGTGCAAAACAATAACTTCGAAGTTAATGCTTCCCTGCTCAATATGGTGCAGAAATCCAAGTTTCACGGTTTACCCGGGGAGGATCCTTTAGAGCATCTAGATCAGTTTGATTGGGTTTGCGACCTGAGAAAGATAAATGGGGTATCAGAAGACAGCTTCAACCTACGCTTGTTCCCATCCAATCTTGGTGATAAAGCATACTAATGGAAAAAGAATCTTCTGAGGGGATCTATACAAACGTGGGAACAATGCAAGCTCGCCTTCTTGTCCAAGTTTTTCTCCACATCTAGAACGGCTAAATTGAGAAATCAGATCCCAAGCTTCACATAACACACCAATGAAAGCCTTAGTGAAGCTTGGGAGAGATTTCGAAGCTATACCAACCAATTTCCACACCACGGCTTCTCGGAGGCTTCCCTCCTGAGTACTTTATACCAAAGTGCACTTCCAAAGATAAGGAACCAACTTGATACAGCTTCAAACGGGAACTTCCTTGGGAAGGAGATAAACGCAGCAATGGAAATTGTTGAGAGTCTTGCGATGTCTAATGATACCTATGGAGAGGATTTCGACAGAGCTAACCGATCTGATGGGTCTAGTAAAGAGTTGTGCATGGAAAAAGACATTAGGGAGCTACAGAGCAAGCTTGATAAAGTTCTTGTGTCTACACAAAAGCCAATACACTTTGTAGGGGAGTTTGATGAGCAAGGGCTACGCTTTGACAATGTGAATGAAGATGGTCTCACACAAGAAGAGATCAACTATATTGGGAATCAACAAAGGTATCAGCGGTTTAACAACTTTGGGAACAATCCAAACCTCTCCTACCGAAACCCCAATGTAGGAAATCCTCAAGATCAAGTGTACCCTGCTCAACAACACCAACAAAGCTATGCTCCTAAAGCTCCATTTCAGAACAGCTTTCAGTCCAAGCAACAATTCATTGGGAAACAACAGAGTTATGGCCCGCAGAATCAACCGGCTCAGAGCAACAACTTCAACAGCCAACCGCAGCAACACAAGTTTCCACCAGGGTTCAGTCCATAGCCGATGGGTCAGCAGCAACAGCACTAGGCACCAGTTCAGAATCAGATGGGACCTGACATGTGTGGGCTTCTACAGCATCTGTTACAGAATCAGCAACGGGTTGAGAGCCAGTACGCCACAATGCAACAAGATATCAGGGAGCTTAAGCAGAATCAAGCTTCAACATCATCAAGAGGTCCAGCTTTCCCAGGAAAGCCGGAACCAAACCCCCAAGGAGTATGTGAACGCCATCACTTTGAGGAGTGGAAAAGAATTACAAGCTCCAGCACCTAAGCCAAATCTCATTGAGGATAATGAGCAAATTGGTGGGGAGGCAGCCTCAAATGATGAGCAACAAGATGAGGTTTTGGAGAAAGAACCGGTTAAAGACAAGGCTAAAGAGGTGGAGAAGACACCTGAGCTTGAAAATCCATACATTCCACCACCTCCTTATCAGCCTAAGATACCATTTCCAGGGCGTTTCAAGAAGCAGATCCTAGACAGGGCCAAGGCAGTTTTTGAAAAGCACTTAAAGAATACTCAAATGACTTTGCCGATCATAGATGCTTTTCTAGCTATACCACAGCTTGGAAAATTTCTAAAGGACGCCATACTTAACAAGACAAAAGAGCTTCATGGCCATACTGTGCCATGAGTGCAGTGCCTTCATTCAAAGGAGATCAATACCAAGAAAGCTATCAGATCCGGGTAGTTTTACTTTGCCGTGTGCAATCGGTCATCTGAAGTTTTCAAGCTGTTTGTGTGACTTGGGAGCTTCTGTGAGCTTGATGCCTTATTCAGTGGCTAAAAGACTTGGATTTAAGAACTACAAATCGGCAAAGATCTGTCTTGTGTTGGCTGACAGATCAGTGAGATTACCAGTTAGCTTACTTGAGGATCTACCTTTGAGAATTGGTGAAATAGAGATCCCCACAGATTTCATAGTTCTAGAGATGGATGAGGATCCTGTTGACCCCATCATCTTGGGAAGACCCTTCTTAGCAACAGCAGGAGCGATCATTGGCGTGAGAGGAGGCATGATCGAGCTGCACATCAGTTCTGAAACCATGAAGTTCAATGTGAAGGAAATGATGAAGAAACCGACCATTGGAGGTCAAGTTTTCTATATTGAAACCATGGAGGAGCTAGCTGATGAGCTCCTTGAAGAGTTAAACACAGAAGATCCATTACAAGTGGTCTTGACACGGGAACAAAGCGAGCATAGGTTCTTGAACGATGAAAGCGAGGTGTACAAGCGTCTTTTGGACCAACCGAAAGAACTTGAAGCTGAGACGAGGTTTTTGGAGCTCAGGAAGTCCAAGACTGTTGGGGAGACACCTCGGGGTATCATGGCCGCGACATCTTATACCGAGGTCAGTGGTGAACCGCGCGAGAAAGAAAAGGCCGAGGGAGCTGTTCCGAGGCAATGCAGCTTCGATGCTGATTGGAATGAAGCTGATGCACCCCCTTTTGAGCTCAAGCCTCTACCAAAAGGGCTTAGGTATGCTTTCTTTGGCTCAAACTCTTCATATCCCGTAATCATCAATGATAACTTGTTAGAGCATGAAGAGAGTGCATTGCTTAGCGAGCTTAGAAAGTTCAGGAGAGCAATAGGGTATTTTTGGCCGATATTAGAGGCATATCTCTTGACATATGCACCCACAGGATACACTTAGAAGACCAGACTATGTCTTCTATTGAGCATCAATGACGTCTTAACCCGAACCTTAAGGAGGTGGTTAAGAAGGAGATACTCAAGCTTCTTGAGGCAGGGATAATATACCCAATCTCTGACTCAAGATGGGTATCTCCTGTTCACGTCGTGCCCAAGAAAGGTGGTATCACAGTGGTAAAGAACGAAAAGGATGATCTGATAGCCCAAAGAACCATAACCGGTCATCGTATGTGCATTGACTATAGAAAACTGAATTCTGCATCTAGGAAAGATCATTTCCCATTTCCATTCATAGACCAAATTCTTGAGATGCTGGCTAATCATACTTACTTTTGTTTTCTTGATGGGTACTCGGGTTTCTTTCAAATCCCCATAGATCCCCGAGACCAAGAGAAAACCACATTTCCATGCCCTTATGGTACCTACGCATATAGATGCATGCCTTTTGGCCTTTGTAATGCACCTGCGACCTTCCAAAGGTGCATGATGCATATATTTTCTAACCTCATTGAAGAGAAAGTGGAGGTGTTTATGGCCGACTTCTCCATCTATGGCTCCTCTTTCTCTGATTGCCTTCCTAACTTGTCTCAGGTTTTAAAGTGATGTGAGGAGCACAGGCTTGTCTTAAATTGGAAAAAATGTCACTTCATGGTTCAGGAGGGCATCGTTTTGGGTCACAAAGTCTCGGAGAAGGGCATAGAGGTGGATGAGGCAAAGATAGAGGTCATGGTGAATCTACAGCCTCCGAGTTCAGTCAAGGGTATAAGAAGCTTTTTGGGGCACGCCGACTTCTACAAGAGGTTTATCAAGGACTTCTCAAAGATAGCCAGGCCTTTAACAAGGCTCTTGTGCAAAGAAGTCGAGTTCTTGATCGATGATGAATGCATGGAGGCGTTCTTAAAGATCAACGAGGCTCTGGTCAGTGCACCGATTGTTCAAGCTCCTGACTGGTCTTTGCCATTTGAGGTGATGACAGACGCATCAGACTATGCCGTGGGAGCTTTCTTGGGGCAGAAAAAGGATAAAAAGCTTCATGTGATCTATTACGCAAACCGCACATTAGACTCCGCTCAAGAAAAGTACATAACTACTGAGAAAGAGATGTTGGCCATTGTATTTGCGTTTGATAAATTCAGGAGCTATCTTGTGGGATCAAAGGTCATTGTCTATACAAATCACGCAGCCTTGAGATATCTCATGAAAAAGAAGGATGCTAAGCCAAGGCTGCTCAGATGGGTTCTTTTGCTTCAAGAGTTCGATATGGAGGTGCTTGACAAGAAAGCTATTGAGAATAGAGCTGCCGACCATCTCTCACGGCTAAGAGTTGAATCAAAGGTACCTCTATATGATGTTTTGCCCGAGGAACATCTCATGTTTGTCAAGTCTTACTTGGAGGTAGAGGAGGCCAATACGATCAGGGAAAGAAGCCTCCCATGGTTCGCAGATCTTATGAACTACTTGTCATGCGGTTTAGAGCCACCAGAGTTAGATTCCTATCAGAGGAAAAAGTTCTTTAGAGATGTGATGAGGTATCATTGGGATGAGCCGTATTTATACGTGCTTAACAAAGACCATCTCTATAGAAAATGCTTAGCCGAAGAGGAGATTCACCCTGTGTTGTAAGAATGCCACGGTTCAGCGTATGGTGGGCAGTTAGGTGCTTTCAAGACGGTGGCCAAGGTTTTACAAAGTGGGTTTTGGTGGCCAACGATGTTTAAAGATGCCCAAAATGTTGTCTCGAGGTGTAAGTCGTGTTAAAGGCACGGTAACATATCCAAGAGGAATGAAATGCCTCAGAACCCGATTTTTGAAGTAGAAGTCTTCCACTGTTTGGGCATTGATTTCATGGGTCTCTTTGTAAGTTCATACGGGAACCAATATATACTTGTTGCTGTGGACTATGTGAGCAAGTGGGTAGAAGCGGTTGCATTTCCGACCAATGACTCTAAAGTTGTGGTCGAGCTCTTTAAAGGCACCATTTTCCCATGATTTGGAGTTCCTAGGGTAGTAATCAGTGATGGGGACAGCCATTTCATCAATAAGACTCTTGAGAGTCTGTTAAAGAAGCATGGAGTGAAGCACAAGGTGGCTGGTCCTTATCATCCACAAACAAGCGGTCAAGTGGAGGTTTCAAACCGTCATATCAAAGCAATTTTGGAGAGAACTGTGAGCTCATCTAGGATAGATTGGAGCAAGAAACTTGATGATGCTCTGTGGGCTTACAGAACTGCTTACAAAACCCCCATTGGAACCTCACCGTTTAACCTGTTATATGGGAAAAGCTGTCATTTACCGGTTGAGTTGGAGTACAAAGCCTTGTGGGCAGTAAAACTGTTGAACTTTGACATCAAGATGGCTCAGGAGAAGAGGGTTCTACAGCTTCATGAGCTTGAGGAGATCCGGTTAGAGGCTTTTGAGAGCTCTAAAATCTACAAGGAAAAGACAAAGGCGCTTCATGACAAGAAGATACACAAGAGAGAGTTTAAAGAAGGGGACCAAGTTCTGTTGTTCAACTCAAGACTTAAGCTATTCCCTGGAAAGCTAAGATCTAGGTGGTCCGGACCGTTTAGAGTTCTTGAAGTGAGACCATATGGAGCCGTTGTCTTAGAGGGAAAAGATGGTCACGGTTTTGTTGTGAACGGTCAGAGGACAAAGCATTACTTGGTATCTGAAATAAGAGAGGGAGCTACCTCAGTTCCTCTTCTTTAACCCGAAACTGCCTGAAAAAGTAAGTAAAGTCAAACTTAGAGACGTTAAACAAAGTGCTCTTGGGAGACACCACAAGCTTATCCTTGTATATATTTCATTTTGATTTTTCTTTTTCTTTTTATTTGAAGCTTTTTGAAGGGTTTGTTAAGTATTTCAGGTCTAAGCAGCGTTTTAAGTGTGAATCTTGACAGAAAAAATGCAATAAGGCTTGTAAAAGACACGGCCTTGTGTTTTAAGACAGGAGTTTTCATAGCCTTGGTATCGACCCTCGGCATAATCATGCCTTGGTCACCTTTTACCGAGTGAATGCTTGAGAACCTCGACTAAACTCCTCGTCTTGTTAACACCGGGGCCGCGTGGTGAAAAGAAGGAGATCGTGAAATGAATAAGTGTGGGGTTTAAAACCCTGGTGTAAACACCTCGGTATAATTATACCGAGGGTCGATGATCAAAAGAAACGGTTAAAAATCTCGACCTAAGGCCGCGACCTGTTTACACCGAAGCCGAGTCGCTTATTCCCCCAAGCGCCAAGTGTTCTGTGTTGAAACAAGTACCCTCGACATGATGCCCTCGTGGTGGAGCATGCCGAGGTGCCTGGTAATGAGAAAGAACAAAAATAAGAACACTTGGGACACTTAAGTCAAAGAAGAAGGTTTTAAGCGGTCAATGGAAAAGACTTGAGGGCCACGAAAATTTATGTGTTAGCCTGAGATCTAAGTCCCTCGGGGTGAAACACGTCGAGGCCGCTCGTGCTAACACAAGAAAAATGAGTCAAGACCGTACGACCCTCGTATTATCCACACCGCGGCCATTTGAGAGCTTTGCGCGGTAAAATGGGTTTAAACGCGCAGTCAACACGATTTTGAGAGCGTTCAACAGCTGGAAATTGAGAGAAAGGGGGGACCAGTATTGCTACAGTCCAAAAAAACAGCTGGAAAGCAACCCTCAGCCCATACCCGCTCCCATACCACACCAAAACGCAGAGTTTGCCTTCTTCACTCTTTTCTCTGCATTTCACGCATACAACTCTCTCACTTCTCATTAGTTTCGCACGATTTCAGTTTTTCTGAACTCATTAGAGTGTTGTCTATCCTGCATAAGCATCTCACTAAGCTTGAATCCTGTGTTCCCAAAGGTATTTGCATTCTTAAGAACTCATCTTTTTCCATTGCAATTTGTGAGCTTTATTATTTGTAAAATGTGCAATCGATTATTATACACTGTTAAAAACCTCGGGAACAATTTTAGAAATTCCATCAGGATAAACAATA